AGATTACATCTGGAGGAATACATGAAGGAGGAGGGGACGAGCTAATAAAACACCTAGAGTGACTGAACAACAAATATTTGCCAATTGAGATTTTATTAAAAATATTCAGGCATGATAGTACATAGTTGTTTCTCTTAGTTGCCCAGTATCAGAGTTTACAAATGCTTGATTCATCATGGAACTGCTTTGAAAATCAAGCTATTGCCCTGCAAAGTTATTGATCTAGTTTGTAAAACTGTGACTAGTTTCTGAATAGAGTCCTCTACTCTTTTTTGTTGCAATTTGTTCAAAATCAGTGTGAATAATCAAAATGTTCAGTGAAGGGAACACCATAGAAACATAAAGTTTTGAAGACTTTAGCAAAATGGAATTCCTGAAAACATGGTATATAAACAGGAAGTAATTGAATTTGTCACGGCAAAAGTGAGGGGAAAAAATGACAAAATCAAATAAGAGGAGTGCAGTGTACCTGATTGAATTTTCATATCTGTGGTTTGTAATTTCATAACTTGTGAGAAGAATTTTTGAATGAGCTTCCATTTGGGGGTATATTTACATTTTGTAATGAATAGAATGAAATTGAAAAGCCCTATTATTTTGTGACATCTCCGTTTTGTTTGGCAAAGTATTCAGGATAATTAGAAATGGAGACAATACTGTTGAGGCGTTTTGTGTTATATTTGTCTAAGAATGAGTCTTAATGAAATAAAAATGATACAATGAAAATATTTGGACTAAAATATTTAGACATTTCCATACATAAAAGCGTAATTATGTACCTTCACTGAGAATTTTCCTGAGCTTACCAGGAATCTCAACATATGTAGAAAGAATTAAATTTTTTCAACAAAATATGGGCTACAGAGAAGAGTTTTTTGGAAGTATCAATAAATTTCAATTTATTAATGATAAAATACAATCTTGGGGACTATTACCATTTTATGACAACTGAAAATAATGAGAACATATTTATAATTAAAGTCACTGAAGGAAAGGGGAGAGACAATGTGGCAGAAAAACATTTGAAGAAATAAAGGCTAAAATATTTCCAAATATGATGGAAAATATCAAGCCACAGGTCCTAAGTGCTTAAAGATATCTAAGAAGATTGAATAGAAAAAAAAAAAAACACATATAATCTCATCATAGTCAAATTGCTGAAAACCAGTAATAAAAAAAAGATTAAATGAATATAGAGGGGAAAAAGGCATATTCCATAGAGAAGATCAATGTGAAAGTGAAGACTGAATTCATCAGCATTGCATCAAGAAGACAATGCTATGACATATTTAAAGTGTTGAAAGAAAAAAAGTCTTCTCAACTTAGAAATCTCTATCTGTTTAAACTACTCTTCAAAAATGAAGAGAAAATAAAGGTATTGTTTAATTCATGGTCAAAGAAGAAATCATCAGGGAAATAGGAGCTTATTTTGGAATGAATGATAATGAACATCTCTCATAAATTTTGTGGATACAGTGAAAATAGTAGCTAGAAGGAAATTTATAGCCAGTTGGAAAAATGGCAAATTCCATACAAAATAAACATACCAAAATTGACACAGGAAGAAAAAGAACATTTTAATGGCCTTCCATTTGTTAAAGAAAGTTTATCTGAGATAAAAGCCCTTCTCAGAAAAACTCCACGCCCAAAGACTTCACTAGTGAATTCTACCAAACATTTGATAAGAAATGAAAAAAATGATGTCAACCGTACATCATATATTTCAGAAAACAGAACAGGAAGAATATTTATTGTCTTGTTTCCTGATACCATGACCTGAGAAGGGCATTACAAAAAAGGGAATTGTAGACCAATATGCCTCATGAACATAGGAACAAATATCACTGACAAAATATTAACAAAAATGGCAATATACGAAGATAATAACATGCCATGACCAAATGTGGATTATTCTAGGAATGCAAGGTTAGTATAAAATGATTCCATGTAAGTTGATTTGATTTAAAAAAATCATTCAGTGTAAGTTGTCACATTCCACAGACTAAAATAGAAAAATAGACATGATAATCTCAGTTGACAGACAGAATCTTGACAAAATCTAATACCCATTCATGTTAAAACATGCCAGAAAACTAGAAGTAGAAAGGGACTTCCACAACCTGACAGAAAATGGCTATGAAAACCTTCCAGGTAATCATTATATTTGATGAAATATTGATTCCGTTCCTCACAAAGCTGACAGCAAGACAATGATGTCACTATGTTTTCCTATATTTTCCTGGTTTTAAGCCTGTGCAATAAGGTAAATAAGAGATAATATTTATGTAGGGAGAAATAAAATGGTCTTTATGTGATCTTGACATAATTGCATAGATTAAAAACTACTAAAAAAACTTTAAAAATCTACAAGAATAAATGAACCTAAAAAGATTACACATAATAAGGCAAGTATACTGAAACCAATTGTATTTTTATGTACTAGTGAAAAAAAAATGAAAAAGGGGTTTAAAACATTTACAGTGTTAAAAAATTAATATACTTGGAGAGTAAATCCATGTATATCTATAAGATACTTCTGAAAGACATGAAATAAGATAGTAAGTAAGACACAAACCATGTTCACAGATTGGAAGATTTCATATTGCTAATATATCTATTTTCTCCAAATTGATCTGTAGACTCACCATGACCCAAGTATGATCCCAGAAACCTTTTTTTGATAAAAGGACAAGTGATTCTAAAATTAGTATCTAAATGCAAAGAACCTATAACAGCCAAAGTAATTTGGAAAAGAGGGAAAATGCTGGATAACTTACCTAACCTAATTTCCATAATTAATACAAAGCTTCAGTAATTGATACAGTGTGGTATCCACTTTATTATAGAAAAACAAATCAATGCACAAAAATAGAGCCACACATAAATTGTCACTTGGTTCTCTGACAGAGGTGCCAAGTCAGACCCTCTGGTGAAAGGACAGTCTTTTCACTAAAGATGTTGGATAACTATAATGGGAAGAAAACGAACTTCTTCCCATACTTCCCAACAAACATAGGTCTATGATTCATATGTAATATAATATAAAATGTAAATATAAAACTATTAGCTTTGAGAAGAAAATATATATGATTTTTTGTGATCTTGGATTAGGCAAAGATTTCTCAGAAAACACTAACCATAAAAAAAAAGATAAATTTGATTCCAAAACTTTAAAAACTTCTGTTCGTCAAAATACACTATAAGAAAATGCATATAAAAACCCCAGACTAGGAGAAGAAATAATAGTTACGCTTTTACCCAATAATGCATATGAGAAGTACAATGAAAATAATATTTCATTTTAGAGTATAGTACATAAAATATTTGAATTCCAGGCATAAACTACTAATGATGAAATAAAAGGACAAATAATTGGAAAGTTATTCTTGGTTATACAATCATATACAAGACCATAATAAATATGAAAACACTTCTTAAATTAGTAAAAATATTTTAATGTGAGACATTAATTTTTCTCAGGATATTTTAAATAACATTTTAAAACGGTATTTACAAGCCAAAAAAAAGCTTTTGTTTTTAGTTTATTGACTATTCTCAATAGTGCATTTTAATCAGTTTGGATTGGGCCAATCAGGAATTCTATAATTAGTCTTTGGTTTGTTAGTGGCTATTCAAAGTAACTTTCAAAAAAAGGTTAAGAATACTGGGATAAAAATTAGACCATGAGCAGCTCCAAATACCATCACAAGAAACATAATCTTGAAAAATGTCCTGAAGATGTATGCTTTAGCTGCAGACAGGAAAGACACCCTATTATTGTTGAAACTGCACTTTGTAACACGGGGTAGCCTAGCAGATACAGTGCCTCAGTGGCTTTTCGGTCTACTGAGGGCTCTAAACTGGAAACAAATGCATAGGAAATGTGAGCAGAAAAGTCAAAAGAAAACCCTATACAAATGACAAGATTAATCATGGCTATGGAATCAAGGTTGACATTCCAGAAGGCCATAAAACCCGTGACGCCCACAATCACAGAAGCAATAGCAAAAGTTACCCACAAAGAACACAGGGGATGAGGAATTAACAATAAGGAAACAACGAACATAGCTGCTGATGCAACAACCACATTTCGAACAGTGTTTTCTACTATTGCAGAATACTGATCAAAATATATGAATGCCGGGTTGTACACCATTAGGGGAACTTCACACTTCTCAGCCATGTTTCGGAACTGGAGTAACATCAGCTTCTTATTGGTTGAAGAAGAAATACCCATGGTTTGAACGAAGGCCCGGGAACAAATGATTTCCTGTGATGATGTTATATTAATATCATATGCAAAAAGTGGAAAATCCATTAAAAAAGTGGGAATATTGCTTAGAAACGATGTCTTATCATTTATATCTTGACGGAGGTTTTCCATATATTTTACATATTCTTGTAACCAAAACTCTGTAAGGTTTTCATCTACATACTCACTGTTTTCAAAATCTGCCAGACAGTTTTCCAGTTTTTTCCTAGCATCTTTATCCCAGTAGTCAAGAGCCTCAGTAACTATTACCATAACCCTGGGACCATAAGTAGAAAAATGGTCTTCTTCTACATTAAAATATGGTGTGATGTAGGAGTCGTCACTTGCCAAATTTCGGAGGTCTAAACCTTCCTGCACTTGGAAACACCCATATACACTAGCTATGATGTACGAAACGTATAGGAGCACTACAAAAATCTTGGACTTGGTGCTTATGAGAAAAGGACCAAAACAGTCTCTAAAGAACAGGTTCATTGGATGGATGTCAGCTGTATATTCATCTCGGAGAGAATTACAAGGGAGGCAGCAGGACTTTTTTAATGAGGAACATTTTTGGTCAGGTGTTTCTGGCTTCTTCAACCAGCGTAGACAGACTACTTCTCTTTTCCCATCCAGGGCCATAAATGCTCCAAAACAGGTGATGTTATAAATATAACAGAAGAGCAGGGTTGTTCCCGTATAGATGCAAAAGTATTGAACGGATCTGAAAGAGGTCATAATTCCTGTATAGAAGGCCAGGACATCGGTGACGGTGGTGATCGTAATGGATATTGCCACTTTTGAATAGACATCGGACATCCGCTCACTTATGCTATCCGTGAAGCTGGTCTTCTGCCAGGCAGAAATCATGATAAACATGTCATCAACCCCAACACCTGTTAGAGAAAGAAACAGAGTCTTTGTACATTTTAACATCCATTAAAAATTAACCAGATCAACGCAAACCGTTTTCTTTGCCTGTCTCTCAAGGTCTCATTGATCTTGCGGAGTCTGTTTGGATACTGCTTTCTCTGACGCCTTCTCTGGTTGCCTCTGAATCCACAGCACAACTCATCACTCCTTGCTCTGTAATAACTCTGCACTTTGTACACATAGCACAGTACACTCTACTCCTAGTCATCATTCAGGGTGTTTCAATGAAGAGTCAGGAAACCTGGCTGACTGGGTATTAGGTGAAGCAGGATTAGCCATGCATCTCTGATTCCATCAGAACATTTGAGAGACCATTTTCTCTTATAAACCATTTTACTCTAAGGCACTAATACTGAGTTAGCATCCTGTTGTTTAAAATATGAGCCAGATTTATCTGTTCTCCAGTTAGCATCTAGCTATCAATGTGGTATGATTTTAAAGGTACCCCATAGTTTGTACACACACACACATGTAGTTTTCTGTGTCTGGTTCTGACACCCAGAACGCTGTCATTCAAACTGTACTTGCCCAGGTTAAGGCATTATGTCAGTAAAATGCAGGTACTCTTGAGATCAAAAATATGTACCAAGGTAAATCTTAAGAATCCTTTACATAATAAGTGAATACTAAAGTAACCAGTCTCTTCCACAGTGACGTTTCCTGATTGATTTGGAATAAAGAGACCAGGAGAACATTTGAGGACTCTGAAGTCATCACTGAAGGTTAGGAGAGGACGACCACAGAGAAGAAAGGGGATCATCAAGGACAGCCTAAGCACGTTGCAGATAAATTTCACTTCCCTCAAGCTTCCTACCGCTTTCACTCCTGTACACCTGTTTCTGTGTGTATTGATACAAAATCAAAACTTGGAACTGAGTGCTGATTGATTTTAACATCAACCTTGGAAGATCTTCTCCATGGATTACACGGGAAGGTACTGGGAATTGCACTTTGCCTCTAATTCGGATGTTCTGTGTGTATGGTCTGGCAAGAGGCCTGCAGTGACACAGGCTTGTGTAGTATGTCACAAACTGCATCCTGACACGCCCCCTGCAGCCAGCATTTTGGATTTTGCTTGCATTCAGCTGGACAAAGGGCAAGATTCTGAAGTACTAAGGACCACAAATAAACTCATTGATATGGAACAGGTATTTAAAAGCAGGTTTTATTATTTATGGAACTTGGCTCAGAAACTGTCCTCACACATTTCTTGAGCTACTGAAATCACAGCCCCCCCCACATGCACCCCTACACTAACATATGTATGTATATACAGATAATATGAAGACATCAATATGAAATCAGTTGTCTACATTTTAGTTGTTTATGGCTGTGTGAACATTGAGTGCTTAAGCGTGAGTGTGTGCTAGGAAGGCACACATCCATTGCACAGTTCCTCCCCTATCTTCCCTAGGAAACCAATTATTAATTCTTCCAAGTTGCTTACCACCCAAAATAGAAACATATTTGCCTTCTTATGCTTACTGTAAAATAAATCCTGAAAGTACAGGCAAATACAAAGAAAACCTTTAAACAACTATAATTCCAGCTGTCAAGGATAATCCTTGTTAATATTTTAAGTATTATCTATCCAGAATTTGCTCTATACAAATATACATGCATATTTGTGTATATGTCTGTTTTAAACATCTTGTTTCATAATCAGCATTTTTCATTTAACACTTTATATCTACCTCTTTTGAAGGACTGAATAGGATTCCAAAACTTTAATGTGATATGAGCAGATCAATCCCATGTTGATATAGGATTAGCTTGTTTTTTCCTATTCTAAATTACACTAAAATGAACACGCTTATTTTATTTTGTGAAAACCTGTCCAGTAACTAGGACAAATACCCAAAAGTGGAGTTGGCAGGTCAAGCGTATTTCATTTTAGATTTTTAAGTCTTTTGATTTGTTGCTAAGTTATATCTTAAAAGTGCACCAATTTACAAATCTCCCTCAGCAGAATATGAGAGAGTTCACTTGCATACAACCTTCCCCAAACCTTCAATCTTGCTACTATTCATTAATCTAATAAGAAGACAAAGTATCTCACTTTTGGTTTAACTTGCATCCCTTGATTAATCGAAAGGTCAAATATTTCTTTCTTACATTTTCAATGATTAGTATTTTGGATTCTGTGTGTGTGTGTATATGTGTGAAATGCCTAAATGCCTGTTCACGTCACTGGTCTGTGTTTTTCCATTTGGGGTACCAGATTTTTCCAACTTTAAAGGCATATAATTCCATTTTATTTTCTTTTTCCCCTGATACCTCATTTTGGATCTGTAGAGTCACCTACCTATAATTATTTTGCTTAATTTAATACAATACCCTTCCTTTACCCATCCCACACCCCCACATACACAGTGTGCAGCCTCACGCTTTGTTTTACTCACCTAGGATAAGAAATGGTGAATTTGCAACTATGAGCACAAATGGCACCCCAATGTACAACATCAGGCCAAAGCTGCTCACCACTGCCAAGGCAACAGAAATGACTCCAAAGACTGCAACCCACATTTTGTTTCGTACACAGTCAAACCTGTAAATTTGGAGGGAAAAGTCATGGAACTTGTGATGGTAGCTTCCATACTGAAGTTCCAGCAATTCATAACATTCTTGACTCGGACACCTCTTCAGAGCCCTCTTGGACAATAATCCCCATACCTGTCTGTTGGAGAACTTTAATTTCCAGGCATTAGCCCAGACCAACTGAACAAAAACAAAGGGTGGTGGGGGTGGGGGATGGGGTTGGGACAGAAAAGTTGGGAATCTGTACTTTTACCAAACTATACTGGTTGATTCTTATGCAGTAAGCCAAGCATGAATCCACCGACTGGCCTTTCAGAGCCACAAAAAGATACTAAAACATTGCAAACAGATAATTCCACTCTGATCTCCAAAGGAGTATGAACAGAAGCAAGCAGTATGAAAGTGCCCATGTCCAGGTATCTTCTCACCCACTTATGACTCCCATTAGCCATGAACACAATCCTAAATACCTCCTGTATGTCAAAGCTGGTTTAATACATATTGTGGCTAACAAAAAGAATGAAAGCCTCCTTCTAAAAGTTTTTCATGGTTCTCCTCTGCTAAAGAAGTGTGCTCTAGAAAAGAGGCTCTGTGTGTGTGTGTGTGTGTGTGTGTGCGCGCGCTCAGTCAATCCAGTTATGTCTGACGGCTTGTGACCCTATGGACTGTAGCCCACTAGGCTCCTCTGTCCACGGAAGTCTCCAAGCAGGAATAGTGGAGCAGGTTGCCATGCCTTCCCTCTAGGGGATCTTCCCCACCCAGGCATCAAACCCGCGTCTCCTGTGTCTCCTGCATCACAGGCTGATTCTTTACCGCTGAGCCACCAGGGAAGCCCAAGAAAAGTGGCTGCTAATTGCAAAAAAAAAAAAAAAGTAACATATACTCCATTTGGAATAATACAACTTAGGTCTATTTCTTGGTTGGACCAACAAAACTGGGAATATATATATATATAGCATTTTAAAAAGCCTGGCTTTAATACTTTAACTCCCCAACAACCACAACTTTAAAGTATTGACGACAATCTCTAGGTTTCTGTTTTACTTCATTGCCAACTGCTTCAAAACAAATGACTGATAGCTGCCTCTAGAAACTTTTAGTAGGAGAGAGAAACAGTTTGGTTTGAAGACTAGGAAAGTCAACTATGGAAATGGAGCTGCTGACTCCCAAACAGCAAAAATATAACTAAAGACCTTATTCATGCAAGGCCACATTAAAATAACCAAACTTTCTTATTAAAACAACTATGTGTGCCTGTATTTCACTTTTTCTCAAACTGCTGGTGCTATCTGTTAAATTCAGGGCCCCACATCAACATACATACACGCACCAAAAGTATTTTGTTTTGATTACAAAACAACATTTGATTACAACCATTACTTTCTTGTGGACTTCCCTAGAGCTCAGATGGTAAAGAATCTGCCTGTAATGCAAGAGATCTGGGTTCAATCCTTGGGTCAGGAAGACCCCCTGGAGAAGGAAATGGCAATCCACTCCAGTATTCTTGCCTGGAGAATCCCATGGACAGAGAGGCCCGGTGGGTACAGACCCTGGGGTCACGAAGAGTCGGACACGATTAAGTGACTAACACATATACACAATACTTTCTTAAAGCAACAATATTGACTTACAGGAATTTAAGATAAAAGTAACACAAGTGAACCTTGAAATCAGAATGATTAACAGGATAAAAGCTACATATGACATGCTTAGCCCTATTCCCTCTTTCAGGTTTCTGGATTGTTGGTAAAAATTTTTCAGAGGATGGAGGGAGTGAAGTATATTATTGGCTAGAGTGATTTGACTTCGACTAGTCGCTGTGTTGACTCTCTAAATGATCCTTATTTTAATGTTCTATAGGCAATGGAAGGAAAGATGTGAATGCAGAACACCAGTGCGTACACTTGCAAATTTTCTAGTCCCCAGAAGGACTTTGGTTAAGCAGTCTATCAGAATGACTTGGGAGAGTCTCAGCTTTAGATTCCTGCAGTCCTGGAACACAGCTCTGCAGACTCTGATCTACAGTTTGTAGGGAAGTTGCAGAATCCGTGTGTCTAAAAATTTCTTCATGTGATTCCAGTGCTCAGGCTGACTTGGGAATCACTGGCAGCAAAATGACCAGTCAAGACAGCTGACGAGCTACACGTTAAAGAAGGCACGAGACAGGAGCTCCCCGGGGGCCCGGTGGTCAGGACTCCTCAGCACTGTCACTGCTAGGGCCTGGGTTTGGCCCAAAAAAGGGTACAAATGGATGAAGTGAAGGATAATAGCTCTAACATATACAGAATATTAAATACCCAAACAATAGAAGTAAGTCCTTCCTTGTCAGCAATTATTTTAAATCTAAACAGGTTAAACTTTCCAATCAAAAAGCAGATATTATCAGAATGGATAAAACAGTATGATTCAACTATATGCTATTTACAAGAGATTCACTTTAGATCCAAAGACATAAATAGATTGATAAGAGGACTGAAATAGATTCTCCATATGAGTAGTAACCAAAAGAGACTAGGAGTGCCTATATTGATAACAGACAGAATAGACTATTTCAAAAACTGTTAAAAAGTTTTGAGACAGAAGGAATCATATATTTATAAAAGGGCCAATTAATCAAGAAGATATAACAACTATAAACATAAATGGACCTCATAACAGAGACCCAATATATGTGAAGGAAATATTAACAGTATTATAGAGAGAAATACATAGCTCTGCAATAAAAGTTGGAAAATTCAATACCTCCCTTTCAATAATGGGTAAAACATCTAGGCAGATAATCTATAAGGAAAATGAAAACATACAAAATACCATAAAACTTATGAGATGTAGTGACATCATGCCCAGAGGTAAATTTATACTGCATTAAAAATAAGAGAAAAGCTCTCAAACCACTTTGTCGATTTAAACACCTTATGGAACCAGAAAAAGAAGAGAAGACTTAACACAAAGCTAACAGAAGGAATCAGATAAGAACAGTGACAAATAAAATTGAGACTAGAAAAACAACAGAGAAAACCAACAAAGCCAAAAATTAGTTATAAAAAAAAACAACAACAAAATTTGGGTTACATTTATCTAGAGTTGATAAAGGGGAAAAAATACAAATAACTAAATGGGACATGAAAATGGGGACTTCACTACTGAATTTACAGAAATAGAAAGGATTTAAGACATTACTATAAGCAACCTATGCCAAAAAACTGGATAACCTAGATAAAATACACAAATTCCTAGAAAAACACAAAGACCTAAACTGACTCAAGATGAAACTCTCAACAGAACATGTAAAAGGACTGTTCCACAGTCAAAAACCTCCCCTCACCTTCAAAATAAAGTCCAGACTTGATGGCTTCACTGGTGAATTTTATCAAATATGTAAAGAAGAATTAACACCAATCCTTTTCAAACCCTTCCAAAAAAACTTAAAGGAAGGGAACACTTCCTAACTCTTTTGATGAGGCCATGATTACACTGCTATCAATGTCAGACTAAGATACCACAAGGAAGCTACAAATAAGACCTCTTATCAATATAGATACAAAAATCCTCAACAAAATTCTAGCAAACACAATTCAATAAGCATATTAAAAGAAGTATACATCATGACCATATGGGATTTACCCCAGGAATGAAAGAGTGGTTCAACATGAGACCATCAATCAATGTAATACAGCACACTAACAGAACAAAGGATAAAAAACCATATGAATCTCTCAAAAGTTACAGAAAAGGCACTTGACAAAACCCAAATGTCTTTTCATGATAAAAACTCTCAAAAACAAGGAATGGAAGGAAAGTTCCTCAAAATTATAAAGGCAATTATGAAAACTGCACAACTACTGTTAAACTCAATGGTGAAAAAAAGAAAGCTTTCCCTCTAAGATCAGGAACAAGATAAGGATGCCCACTTTCATCAGTGATATTCACAGATGTACTAGAAGTGCTAATCAGAGCAATTAGACAGGACTTTGAAATTAAAGGAATTCAAACTGTAAAGGAAGAATTTTAACTCTGTTTTCACAGATTATATGATCGTACATATGAAAACTCCAATGAATCCAAAGGAAGCTACTAAAGTTAGTAAACAAATTCAGTAAAGCTGCAAGACACAAGATCAACACACAGGATTCAGTTGTTTCTATCCATGTGCAATGAACAATCCCAAAAAGAAATTAAGAAAGTGATTTCATTTAGTGTTTAAAATAATGAAATACTTAGGAATACATTTAACCAAAGAAGTGAAAGACTGGTACATGGAAAACTGCAAAACATTGGTGAAAGAAACTAAAAAAGACCTAAATTAATGGAAAGACTTTCACAGTCCATGGGGAGAAAGACTTAATATTGTCAAAATGACAATTTCGCCTAAGGCGATCTACACATTAAACACAATCTCTATCAAAATTCCAGTAGCTTTTATTCAGAAATGTATAGGTCAATACTCAAATCCATATGGAATTACAAGGAGCCCTGGATATTCCAGAATAACCTTAAAAAGAAAAAACAAATGGACGACTGAAATTTCCAGATTTCAAAACTTATAACATAGCTACAGTATTTAAATCAGAGTGGTACTAGTATATGGACAGACATATAGACCAATGGAGTAGAACTGAGCATCCAGAAATAAATCCATATATCTACAGCCCATTGATTTTTGACAAGGATGCCAAATCCAATCAACTGGGAAAGAGCAGTCTTTTCAACAAAAGGCACTGGGATGACTGGATTTCCACATGTACAAGAATGAAGTTGGACCCCTACTTCACATCATATACAATTATGATTAAAAATTGTAACCACCTAAATATTGCAGCTAAAACCATAAAACTCTTGAAGGAAACAGAGCAATTGCACACGACCTTACTTGTCAACGGAAGCTTAGATGTAATACCAAGAGCACAAGTAGAAACAATAAAAATAAACAAGTTGAATTTCATCTAAATTAAAACCTTTGTACATTAATGGACATTATCAAGAAAGTAAAGAGATAATCTACAGAGTGAGAGAAAATATTTGCAAATTGCATAACTTGATAAGGATTTAATATCCAAATCAACAACAACAGAATTCAACAACAAAAGGACAAACAGCTTCACTAAAAATGGACAAAGGTGGGAATTCCCTGGCAGTCCAGTGGTCAGAACTCCAAACTTTCACTGCCAAGGGCCTGGGCCCAAATTCAACCCCTAGTCGGGGAAATAAGATTCTTCAAGCCTTGGGGTGCAGCCAAAAATAGGGCAAAGGACTTGAATAGACATTTCTCCATAAAGGGTATGCGTGTGTGCTCTGAAGCTCAGTTGTCTGACTCCTTGTGACCCCTAGCCACCAGGCTCTTCTGTTCATGAAATTTTCCAGGCAAGAATACCAGAGTGGGTTACCATTTCCTTCTCCAGGGCATCTTCCCAACACAGGGATTGAAACCAAGTGTCTTGCATTTCCTGCACCAGCAGGCAGATTCTTTACCACTGTGCCACCTGGGGAGCTCCAAAGAAGATATACAAATAACCAATAACCACATAAAAAAGATAATCATGGTTAGAATGTAGAGAAATTGGAAAACTTACACATTGCTGGTGGGATACAAAATGGTGTAGCCTCTGTGAAAAATAGTTTGGTGGTTCTTCAGAAAGCTAACCAGTGAATTGTCATACAACCCACTAATTCCACTCCTAGGTATATACTGAAAAGAACTGCAAACAGGAGCTTAAACAGAGATTTGGACATCAGGTTTCACTGCAGCATTATTCACTATAGTCCAAAGGTAAAAATATTTCAAGTGCCCATCAACAGATAGGTAGATAAAAAAATGTGGTACATACATAAAATGGAATATTATTCAGCCATGTAAAGGAACTCATGCTACAACATGGATAAATGTTGAAAACATTATGATAAGTGAAATAAGTCAATCACAAAAGGACAAATACTGTATGATTCCACTTATATGAAATCTCTAGAATAGGCAAATTCATGGAAACAGAAACTAGATTAAAAATTAGCCAAGACTTGGGGGAGACAATGGGGAGTTATTACTTAATGGTTACAGTGTTTGTTTGGGGTGATGGAAAACATTCATAAAGGGATAGTTGTGATGGTTGTGCAACACTTATAATGTAATTAATGCCACTGATCTGTACACTTCAAAATGATTTTTGAAATGACACATTTTATGTTATAAATGTTATATACACATTATATACATTACTACAATAAGATATTTTTTAGAGTTTAAAAAACTATTAAAATTGTTTTACCTGTAGCATGATACAATTGCAAATAATATGATTAGAAGGTAGGCCAAGTGAAACAAGGGGATCACTGTCATAGAAGTTGCCTCAAATTCCAGTTGTCTAGAAAGCGATGAAAAGTAGACAACCTGCTACAAAAACATATTCAGGTAAATGACTTTCAATTCTGATACTGTGTGTGAGTTACATATGATACTGAAACACTGCAACTTAATAATTTAAACATTAAAATTCAGTGAAAAGTCAAAATATATGGATTATGATTTTAGAATTAAGAAGATAATAAAGATTTGCTTCTTCCCACAAATCTCTGGCATGCTTTTCAAAGTTTCTTTCAAAAAATCTAAAGTTTAAGACTTCTGAATACACAAAATCTGAATCTTATATAAAACTGTGAAAGCATTAATAACTATAGACTTATAACTTTTTCTAAACTTCTATTCAGTCATTGTCTTTTACTATTTTAATTGTACAAACATCATTTCAGACAGGCCTGGGTATTAAAAGACTTTTCTCAGAAGATATCTTCTCATTTTCACCAGTTTCATTCAGAGTATTAGGTTTGCCAGTCCCAAAATTACTGAACAGCTAACATGTGTCTGGCACTATGCTATAATTTACTTTTAAAATGCTCATCTTTGTCAAAAACATCATGGAACTTTTGTTTAAAGTTTTGCTGTTTTATTCCAATGAACTCCAAAGTTTAGGGGGCTCCCAGAAACAGCAAAGGCTTAAACTGAAAGTAAGAATTAGAGTAATTTGACCACATAAACCAAACTAAACCTGAATATCAATGTCTGGACTGAACAGACCTACCCTGAGAATGTACCATTTGTGTTTTTAACCAGAATGTTACCAAGGATTTAAGATTTGCGGCATTCTTCTCCTTTTTTTTTTAAAGTCCTCTTTTTACTTTATTAAAAACTTTATTGTAGTATAGTTGCTTCGCAATGTTGTGTTAGCTTCAAGTGCACAGCAAAGTGAATCAGTCATACACATACCCACTCTTTCTTAGGATCTACTGTGGCTTTCTTCAGTGTGCTACTTTAAGAAAGTTGGATTAAGGACCAAATAAAGCAGAGCACGCCTAGCTTCCAGGCAAGGACTCTGGTAATCTGGGGTGCTGCTGCTCTGGTCCTTGGGACACGTCCTCTTATCCCTCCCACCTTCTCCTGGCCTCCCATAAACTCCGCCACTAGGTACCTGGATCTTCTTCAAGGCCAGGCTCTCCTCCAGGCTGCTCGCCTGCGTCAGGAAGTGGATCATCCAGGCCTTGCTCCGCTCCTGCTCCTCTGCTCCGCCTGCCTCCAGGTGGTACTGCAGCCGCATGGCTCTGGCCCGGAGGAGAACCTGGCTCGGCCCCATCCTCTCGCCCAAGACAGTTCCTCCCAGGGTGTTGGCCAGGGAGACCATCTGACCGGCTAGGCTGTAGATGGGAAAGGTGATGGTTCTCAGGTTGAGGCCCTTGTTCCTTTTCCAGGTGAATAAGAGTGGGTTGGAGGGGACACAGGAGCCCTGGTTCTTAGTGCACACCTCGCTGTAGGGGATCTGGGTTCCGGTGTCCTGGGTCACAGTCAGAGTCTGCACCGTGTCGTCCACCTTGCTGATTTCCTCTAGGATGTCCGGCTCCAGCAGGGTCTCGGCGCTGGAGACCACGAGGACGGAGGCATAAGGGACCTCGGCGCTCTTCCTGGAGATGGAGAAGATGAGAGAGTCATTGGCGGTGAAATGTCCCTGCACGAAGCGCCGTTCTGCCTTGGCGGGGCTCCCGATCGGGGTGTACTCCTCCTCCAGGCCTTCTTCTCCATCCCGGGGCAGGTACATCAGGCCGGTGCCCAGGACGGCCGTTAGCGCCACGGGCAGCAGCAGAAAGATCCAGGGGTGCGCGCCCACCTTTCTGCCCAGCCGCCGGAAGACCCGCGATAGCGGTGCCTCCAGGCAGTTGTGTGGCAGCTGGGCCGCGGGGCCCGAAGGTTCTCAAACTGAGAGGCCGGCGGGGGCGGCGGAGCCTTGGGCCCCAGAGGGGGCTCTGCGCTCGGCCAGTCCGCCCGGCCGCGCTCGGGCTCCCAGTCCTGACCCGCCGCCGAGGGGGGCTCCGGCTCTGGGCCAGGCCCTGCTGGCGGCCCGCTCTCTCTCTCCGGCCCCGGCCCTTGGGCCTCGGACCCAGGCTCCTGTCCCGCCTCCCGCTCCGGCTCTGGCTCCGGCGCAACCTTCGAGGGATTAAGGCTCATTTCCAGGAAGGAAAGCCCACGTTCTCAGCACGGCAGATCAGAAAGGAGCTGCCGGACGGAGCCCCCTCTCCACCCACCAACAGTTTCCTTAAGTTCTAGGTGCGTCTGTTTGACCCCGGGCTGCTCGCGCCGCCAATGCTGGAGCTTCGTTGGCGGTCACGTGGTTCAGTTGAGGTCTTGAGGTCAGTTCAGTCGCTCAGTCGCGTCCGACTCTGTGCTACCCCATGGATTGCGGCACACCAGGCCTCCCTGTCCGTTACCAACTCCCGGAGATCACTCAAACTCATGTCCATTGAATCGGTGATGCCATCCAGCCATCTCATCCTCTGTCATCCCCTTCTCCTCCTGCCTTCAGTCTTTCCCAGAATCAAATGAGTCAGCTCTTCACATGAGGTGGCCAAATTATTGGAGTTCAGCTTCAGCATCAGTCCGTCCAATGGATATTCAGGACTGATTTCCTTTAAGATGGACTGGTTAGATCTCCTTGCAGTCCAAGGGACTCTCAAGAGTCTTCTCCAACACCACAGTTCAAAAGCCTCGATTCTTCGGCACTCAGCTTTCTTTACAGTCCAACTCTCACATCCATACATGACTGCTGGAAAAACCATAGCTTTGACTAGATGGACTTTTGTTGGCAAAGTAATGTCTCTGCTTTTTAAAATATGCTATCTAGGTTGGTTGTAGCTTTCCTTCCAAGGAGCAAGTGTCTTTTAATTTCATGGCTGCAGTCATCATCTGCAGTGATTTTGGAGCCCCCCAAAATAAAGTCTCTCACTGTTTCCATTGTTTCCCCATCTATTTGCCATGTAGTGATGGGACCAAATGCCATGCTCTAACTAGCCCCAAATTTGTCCCTGGTGCCTGTCCTCTCAGGATTTAGTTAATACAAGACACACTTCTTAAAGGCAAATGAAATGAGTGTTTACATGACTCAGAATTGACTGGGAGAATATGACTTGTTCAGGGACACACATACTCACACACACACTCACTCACACACATACCCACACACTTAAGGCACAGATTTTCCCTGTGTTCTAAGTGGCAGATTTTACCTTTGAGGGGATCATCCAGAAACATGTTTCTCAGGTAGGGCTTTGGTGAGCCTGGTACAGCTCATTTAGTTATTTTTATTCTTTACAGGCATAATGTTCTCCTGGTAAAAAGTTACAAGTAGATGCATAAAATAAAAAGTGGGACTAGAAGAACCCAAACCCATTCCTGAAACTTCCTTCTATCATGTTCCTCTTCTCAATGGAAGTGTTAAAAAGTGGGAGTTTATCCTTAACAACCATTTTCTTTGCATTTGCAAGCATATCCAGATATATGTAAATATATCATTTTCATAAATGAAAGTGAAAGTGAAGCCACTCAGTTGTGTCCGACTCTTTGCGACCCCATGGACTGTAGCCTACCAGGCTCCTCTGTCCATGGAATTCTCCAGGCAAGAATACTGGAGTGGGTTGCTATTTCCTTCTCCAGGGAATCTTTCCGTCCTAGGGATCGAAACCCTGGTCTCCTGCATTGTAGGCAGGTGCTTTTACCGTCTGAGCCACTAGGGAAGTCCATTTTCATAAATATTATTGCACTATCTGTATGCGAGACCTGGGTTCTATCCCTGGGTTGGGAAGACCCCCTGAAGAAGGGAAAGGCTATCTACTCCAGTATTCTGGCCTGGGGAATTCTATGGACTGTATAGTCTATGGGGTGGCAAAGAATCAGACAGGACTGAGTGAAAAAGAAAAAAAAAAGAAAAATAAAATGTGTATGCAGATTACATTTTTCACCAAATACGTCAAAGGATCTTAACATGTGACTGTATGTAGTTTTATCTTATTCTTTGGAATTGTTTTATAGTTTTCCATTTTGTATGGCTGGAACATAAATTAGCTATAATGCTATTGATAGAGCTGTAGGTTGTTTAGAATGTTTTGCTGATACGAACAGTGCTAAGTGAACAAACGTCTTTTTCTTAAAGCATAAGAAATGCATTTGTGAGATGATTTTGTAGAAGAGGATTTACTGGACCAAAGGATATCCCATTTAAAATTTCTCAGTTATTGATAAAATCCATAGAAGTTGAACTTTCCCAATGGGTAAAGAATCTGCTTGCAATGCAGGAGACACAGGAGATGCGGGTTTGATCCCTGGGTGGGGAAGATCCCCTGGAGAAGGAAATGGCAACCCACTCCAGTATCCTTGCCTGGAAAATCCTGTGGATGGAGGAGCCTGGCAGGCTACGGTCCATGGGGTCGCAAAGAGTCGGATACCACTGAGTGACTGCACTCACTCGCTCATAGAAGTATCGATTTACACCCTCATAACCAGTGTATGCAGTTCTTTTTTTTTTGTCACAGCCCACCCCAGAATGTCATTAAAGTGTTTGATTTGTGTCATTGGTATCTCAATTTGATTTTACTGTTTTAAATTTTTTGCTTAGACTCACCATTATTTCCTTTTTGGGTGAATTGTCATCTTATACCTTTTCCTGGCTTGCCTTTTGGACTATTCAAATTTTCTTCTTTACTATAGAAATTATTCATGTACTAAGGAAATAATCACTTGTTCCTATATTTTGAGTGATGAATATCCCCTTACCCTGTTCTCCCACCGTCATTTGCTGGTTACCATGCCTTTTATTTGTAGTTCAATTAACTTAATTTTTTAAATGAATTCTGGATTTTGTTGCTGTAAGGTGATTGCAGAGAAAAAGAGAGCAAGCCAGGTAGTCAGGCGAGAAAAGGGAAATTTATTAGAGGGGAAAGAGAGGGTGATTGGCCCTTAAGGAGAACCAGTGTCCTCCCTTTCTGATGGAGTCCTTCTTATACCACACCAATGAACTCTGAAGGGATGGTCATGTAGCTTGAGCTCTGGAATCTGGTGTTTTCACAGCTCTGAGAAGATAGGCGCCAGTGATATAATAGGATGCCATTTGGGCAATTTGGCCAGTCTTACAGATCACTGTGATTTTATCTTCGTTTGTGAAGTCAACATAACTAACCATGTTATCAATAAGACCCCATTTGGGCTCTATCAGTTGCATAATAGACAGTTGTTTCCCTTGACCTAGGGCTTCCCTTGTGACTCAGCTGGTAAAGAGTCTGTCTGCAATGTGGGAGACCTGGGTTTGATCCATGGGTTGGGCAGATCCCCTGGAGAAGGGAAAGGGTACCCTCTCCAGTATTCTGACCTGGAGAATTTATGGACTATGTAGTACAAGGAGTCGCAAACAGTCAGACATGACTGAGCAACTTTCACTTGCAGTAATTATAATCTACTTTAAAATTTACATATATTCCTTTTTTAAATTGTTGAAGTATAGTTGATTTATAGTTGTGTTAATTTCTGGTGTACAGCAAACTGATTCAGCTATACATATAAGTATACTTTTTATTTTTTAAGGTGGCCAAACATTTTATTCAGGCTACTGCAGTAGCAGAGAGACTTCAGTGTATGCTGAGCTCAGCTTTGCTGAAACCAAAATGGGAGTGAGAGGGTAACAGGCAGGAAGACTAGGGGCCTCCAAATGGAGGAAATAGGCTCCAAGTGGCAGACATTTTTTATCTCTCTTAAATGGCAGGAGGAAGCAAACTACAAGTGTCAGACTTTTTTCCTTCTCTATACAAATTTAAAAGAAGTCTTCTTTTAAAATTCTGTGTCGCCATGACTACATCTGGTTCCACCTGAACTTGACTTTTCTCAAACCTGAAGCTAACCAATTCATTTTTCTTATGGAAATGCTTTTCTTAAGCTATGTTAATGAACTATGTATTTACCCTAGACTTTCTTTCTTCAAGTTGGTTCTGCCTAAGACTCAGAACCCACTTGACAAACCAGTGTGTTTTACTCATGCAAATGTTCTCTGAAGTTATGTTAATGAGACTATGTCTTTGCTTGGAATCCTGCCTCTCTTCAAGATTCATGTCAATTGTTATATGGCCTGGGACAACTCACCTTGTGCCAGTGTTATCTCAAAATGCATGTTGTGGGTAAGGGACCTGGTGCCATGCTGAGTTTTGAGCCATCTCCTTTCTCTGATTAGCAGCCTGCTGGTAGGAGTATAGCATACTGCGGAAGGCTAGCGCGGGGGCACTCTTTCTGCCCCCTTCTGACGTCTATGTCAGAAGCTGCGACGGACCCGTGCAGAGGTGTGGCTAGAGGAGCTACCCCTTGTCCGAGGTCAGGGCTGGCGACCGAGAGCAAGAGGCTGCGATGGCGCAGGAGTGGCTGAGAGGAGCTACCCCACGTCCGAGGTCAGGGGCAGTGGCCAAGAGGAGCAACCCCACGTCCGAGGTCAGGGGCGGTGGCCAAGAGGAGCAACCCCACGTCCAAGGAGTGGCGGCCTGTGGGCGCAGGAGGGCCAAGAGGAGCTACTCCACGTTCAAGGTCAGAAGGGGTGGCTGTGACGAGATACCCCTCGTCCAAGGTAAGGAGCAGTGGCTGCGCTTTGCTGGAGCAGCTGTGAAGAGATACCCCACGTCCGAGGTAAGAGAAACCCAAGTAAGACGGTAGGTGTTGCGAGAGGGCATCAGAGGGCAGACACACTGAAACCATGATCACAGAAAACTAGCCAATCTGATCCCAGGACCACAGTCTTGTCTAACTCAATGAAACTAAGCCATGCTGTGTGGGGCCACCCAAGATGGATGGGTCATGGTGGAGAGGTCTGACAGAATGTGGTCCACTGGAGAATGGAATGGCAAACCACTTCAGTGTTCTTGCCTTGAGAACCCCATGAATAGTATGAAAAGGCAAAATGATAGGATACTGAAAGAGGAACTCCCCAGGTCGGTAGGTGCCCAATATGCTACTGGAGATCAGTGGAGAAATAACTCCAGAAAGAAGGAAGGGATGGAGCCAAAGAAAAAACAACACCCAGTTGTGGATGTAACTGGTGATAGAAGCAAGGTCTGATGCTGTAAAGAGCAATATTGCATAGGAACCTGGAATATTAGGTCCATGAATCAAGGCAAATTGGAAATGGTCAAACAGGAGATGGC